CCAGCAGCTAAGCCTTTGTCCCCTGTGGATAAATGGGTCCGGAGAGCTTACATTTTTAGGGGCTGCTGTTCTTTCTCGGGTCTGGAGCTGGCTGGCATCACGATGTAGCTTGGCTAGGAGTGAGCGAGGAGCCTTGGATCCTGGACCAAGCTACCTGGGCGCCTGCACCTCCACGCAGCATATGGAAATCCATGTTGCCCGGAGGCAATGCGGTGGGAGGAGGCTTGAGAAGCAGGATGGATATTAGACAGCCTGGCTTCATATCCCAAGTGTGCTAACCAGCCGGCCTAGTAAGCTCCAGCAAGTGCCTGAACCTCTCAGTTTCAGCTTCTTCTGCAATCTGAAGATAACAACAGTAACTTAAGGGAGAGGTAACCTTAGACACTCTGAAGGGGCACTCAATAGTGCTGGTCATCATTGTCATTATTGCTATTATACCCTGTATTTTTTCCTTTCCTAATTTCCCCTCCAAACAAGGTGAGGGCCCCTATAATAAGGTCTCCTGGCTCCTTTCACCATTTCAACACAGCACCAATCACATTTAAGTTTGCATTTATTTCTGCCGCGCCCTGGCCAGTGTGGCTCAGTTGGTTGAGCATTGCCCCACGCACCACGAGGTCTCTAGTTCGATTTTGGTTACCTGCCCAGGTTGGGGCTCAATCCCCAGGAGGGGGCATGTAGGAGGCAGCCAATCCATGGTTCTCATAGCTGTTTCGCTGTCTCTCTCCCTCTCTCCTCTTCTCTTTCTAAAAACATCAATAAAACATATTCAGAAACATCTGTTGTGTTTATCCTAGCATTGTCAAAAAGTATTTGTTGAACAAATACATGAGCTGGCTGGCCCCTGACCCCCTGCAGAGGCCTGTTGGGCTTTGGCCTCAGTTTGGGCAGAGCCATGGCACAGCCCCTGAAGTGCCAGACTGTTTTCCTTTTGGAAATGACGGATCCGGGTTTGAACCCAGGCCTGTCTGCTGCTGCAGCCACGCATATAGCCCCTGAATCTCCGTATAAGAAAAATGAGGAAAATAATCCTTATGTCATCATCAGCAGTTAGGTGGATTAAGAGATGATGGAGGTAAAGACAGGTAGTGAATTACAGTTCTGAGCATGGCTCTGGAGCCAGATCGCTTGAGTCCAGATCCATCTCTGCCATCTGTTACCTGTGTGATCTTAGGCAAGTTTCTTAACCTCTCTGTGCTTTAGTTTCTTTCTCTATACGATGGGCATAGTAACAGTAAGTATATTATAGTTACTGTGAGCATTAGAGTTACATGACCTCAGTGCCAAGGTGCACCCAACTCATGGTAGCCGTGCTCTCTGCAGCTGTTATGTCACTCAGCTAGTGGGTGTCAAAGTTGGCTTGGGAACCTAAGACTCCACCCAATGCCCTTGGGCCCTGGGTATTATGTCTTGTCTGGGCTATGGGGCTGGGCTGGAGCTGGTTACTGCAGCCAGCTTTGGTCAGGACTGTCCCCTCCTGACGTGGCTGCTTACCTCTGGTGCTCATTTCTTCCAGCAATACCTGAACACCTATTACGGCTGCCCCAAGGAGAAGTGCAACCTGTTTATGCTGAAAGACACGCTGAAGAAGATGCAGAAGTTCTTCGGGCTACCCGAGACAGGTGTCCTCGACAAGCGCACCATCATGACCATGCGGAAGCCGCGCTGCGGCAACCCCGACGTGGCCAACTACAACTTCTTCCCCCGCAAGCCCAAGTGGGACAAGAGCGAGATCACATACAGGTGCCAAGGCGGGGCTGGGCGGTGGGGCCTCCAGGCCATGGGAAACAGGGTCTCCTTGGGCCTTGCCCCACTCTGGGCACCTGGCAGGTGTCCTATGAGGGCTTGGTGTCTTAAGGAGTTTGCATACAAAGTTTTTAGGAACTGGAGTCAGACCTGGACCTGAAGCTCACACTTACTAGCTGTGGGACATCAGGCTACTTATTTTTTAATGCCCTGAGCCTTGGTTTTCCCATCTACAAAGTGGGGCTAAAACAAAACCTCCTTCATAGGATGGTGGGGAACTAAGCTAGATCACATATATAGAAGGCTTTCACGGTGTCCAGCATATAGTATCAGTGTAATAACTGCTAGTCAATATTATTACTAGGTGGGGTCATTGGGGCGGGTGGAAGGAAATTGATGATTGGCTGCTAAGTGGGTTTATATTATAAAGTTGTTGTAATTGGTTGTTGATTGGGCTGAGGGCTCTGTTCTGCACTGCTCGTGTTGGATTCCAAGGATGAGATCTCTGACCAATGTCCCATATGCACTATTTATGCTCCTGTGTGTCCCCCCAGCCAGAAGTGAGGGATGAGAGTCCTGAAACGAGGGCTGAAGATGTTGGTTGGTCTAGGACACACAGGACCTCAAGACACTCTGGGTGGGCTGTTCTCCCAGTGAGCTCTGCTCAACATACACACATTCATATGCCTGCGTATGCATACACACATGTATACACACGTGCACACTCAAACTCATGCACCCCTCACATGCTTATGCACACACTTGCACACCTGTGCACATACACCACCCTTGCACTCACACAATTTCATAGTGCTTGTACCCATGCACACACACTCGCATGCATGTGCATACTCGCTTCTTAGCACACACGTACACTCACATGCACTCCTTCCACCCCCAGGATCATTAACTACACGCCTGATCTCGACTCCGAGACGGTGGAAGATGCCTTCTCCCGTGCCTTCCAAGTCTGGAGTGCTGTGACCCCCCTTCGGTTTTCCCGTATCCACGACGGAGAGGCAGACATCATGATCGACTTCGGCCGCTGGGGTAGGCAGAATTGGGACCGGCAGGGGTGCAGTGTAGAGATGAGGGGGATCCGGCCCCTGGAGAGGCACGGGGGGTTTGAGAACAGCTGAGATAGGAGGGCAGAAAGTTACACCGAAGTGGCGTGGGTGGGAGCAGACACTGCAGAGCCGTGTGGATGTGAGGCAGGTGCCGTGACACTATCCCCTGGCGGCGGTGTGAGCCTGCGAGCGGGTGGTCTTCCTGCACTGCCCAGCGTGGTAGCTCCTAGAAACACAGGGCTGCTGACGTTTCAATTGGTTACAATTAAATAAAATCGAAATTCAGTTTCTTGGTCACACTGGCCACATTTCAGGTGCTTAGTAGCCACCTGGGGCTGGTGGTTATTGAATTGAACAGCACGAAGAATGTCCCCATCACCGCAGAAAGTTCTGCTGGATAGCGCCGGTCCACACGGAGGAACCCCAGGCGTGGGAGTAGGTCAGAAAGCATGGAGCAGTGTAGACAGGAGAGTAGCTGGAAAAGAACTTGGAGTCGATGGCTCCATGTGGGTTGGTGGTGTGGGCAGTGGCCGTAGTGTAGACATAAAGGTAGGTAGTGTGGACATTGTGAGCAGTGACGTGGGTAAATGGCACAGCCCAGGGAAGACTGTAGGCATGTGGGTGGGTGGTATGGCCCTGGGCGGCCAAGCAGGCATGGGGGTTAGTTAGTGTTGTGAATACTGGTGACAGAACTGAGGCAACACTGTAGACCTTAGGATGCTAACAACCAAGTCAGCAACTCTCTACTGACTTGCTGTGTCCCAGTCTTGGATAAACCCGACAGGACAGGGAAGGGGACAGATGTCAGGTGGGCTGAAGGGCCCCAGCTATGGAAGGAGCGTGGCTGGGTGTCAGGTCCCGCTGGGGCGGCTAGAAGCTGAGACCAGTGTGTTTCAGAGCATGGAGATGGATACCCCTTTGACGGCAAGGACGGACTCCTGGCTCACGCCTTCGCCCCGGGCCCTGGTGTTGGGGGAGACTCCCACTTTGACGACGACGAGCTGTGGACCCTGGGAGAGGGGCAAGGTAAGAAAGCGGCCATCCACAGGCCCAAGCGTCATCTCCAGCCCTCTGCATGTCTCCCTGTAAGCCAGCAACAAGGACTGGGCCTCCCCAGCAACCTCGGGCACCTCCGTCTGCTCTAATGGGAGAGTGTGAGATTGGGGGTGGGCGGCGGGGGGACGTCACAGGATCCTGGTCCCCAAGGAAGGGCCTGGAGAGGTTAGAGGCCCACCCTGCCCTGCCCTGCGCTGTGTCGCCCCTCAGTGGTCCGTGTGAAGTACGGCAACGCCGACGGGGAGTACTGTAAGTTCCCCTTCCGGTTCAACGGCAAGGAGTATACGAGCTGCACCGACACCGGCCGCAGCGACGGCTTCCTCTGGTGTTCCACCACCTACGACTTCGACAAGGATGGCAAATACGGCTTCTGCCCCCACGAAGGTGAGTCCTTCTGGTCTCCGGCTCCCCAGGCTCCCTGCTGCCCCCCGTCATTTATACCCCCCAAGGCTGACACTGCCAGCCAGCCAGCATCCCCCCACTCCCTTCAAACCCCACTGTCCCTCTGACCTGTATGATTAGCTACTTTATGCTTTCATTAAATCAGTTCCATTCTGAGTCTCGCCGTTAGCAATAATATTTGTGAAATCGTAGGTCTGATGTGCTAATTACTTTTTCTCTTACGTACCTTGGAATGAACTTAGAACTATTAACATGCTCGGTGGTTCTCTCTAGAACCACTGTACCCTCCAGCCAGAGTTGGGGGCTCAAGGGCGTGAGGAGAGGCTCGGAGACGGATCAGAAGTCTAGCAATGGAATTGGGGGGGTGAGACTCAAGACACCAAGGCTGGTAACCGGCCTGGCTTAGAGACACCAACCTCTGGAATTTCAGCCATTAATCCTGGTTCTGATACCAACTTTGCTAGTGTGTGTGTGTGTGTGTGTGTGTGTGTGTGTGTGTGGATCTGGGGACTATGCCAATTGCCTCTCTTGGTCTCTGTTTATTTTTGCTTGTGTCTACATGTCTGTCTTGACTCAGTATTTATGTGTGTGTGTTTGTCAATGCTCAAAACACAAAATTTTCAGATATTCTGAAGCCATGTAGAGGAAAAAAAGTTTAAGGGTTAAGGGTGTTGACATAGTCCTTTCTTAAAATATCCTTGACACACTTCATAATCAGAAATCAGAGACTCATAGTATATATAACTTCATAGTCAGTCATCATATCTGATGATCCTGGAGATCGAAAGCCAGAAAAATGGCAGAAAACCCAACTGTTTTTCTAAATACTTCTTTCTCCCCCATAGACTCCTTGATCCATATATGCCTTTGTCTTCATGGCCCTAACTTTACATGTTTGTGAGTCAGTCTGACTCCACTGCAATTGAACACCGACCACCAAAGCTCATGTGATACGTTGTGTTAAGTAAGAGTTCAAGCCATTAATAAACCAGAAACCTTAAACAGAAATATTTCACGTATCCTGCATTTCCCAGTAGGGATTCGTTACCCCTCCCACGTATCTCACCCATGTGCCGAGAGAAGAGCGCTTTGATGATAGAACTGAAAACAGCTGTAATTCATAAATTTGGGAAGGGTTCTCCCCTGCATTGGACATGAGCCATCCACTTGGTATTTAGCCAGATGCAAGTGCGCACAGCACGCACATGTTTGGGTCTCGGGGCAGATGTTCTGTTCCGCAGCCCCTCCTGACTGCTGAGTCAGTGTCTGTTTCTCTTCATTCTCCTTGGAGGCAGGATCTGAAAGGAGATGGGGCCTCTCTGGGTGGTAGACAGGCAGCTGATGGGAGGCCAGAGGCGTGGAGGTTAACTCTTCGCCTTTCCCCACTCGGAGGCTTCCAAGGCATCTGGCCTCCGTGTTTTCCCTTCCTTTAGTCCCATTGTTTCTGGCCTTGCAGGAGAAGGTCTCTCGATTGGGGGGAGGGGGCCAGTGAGGATAAGGGGCCTGATTCCCGCAGTGGGGGGCCAGGGACGGGCTCCATTCTGGTCGTGGCGGAGTTAACGGGGCCTGGTGAGGTCACCTCTGGCGCTGTTGTGCGCAGATGGTCCTCGTTACACACTTGTGGTTTTGCTAGTTGGCAATTCCAGAGACACCATTTTGTAGCTTTGGGGTGGATGAGGGCATGGGGAGTGGGGGAAGAACCTAAGATAAGCCCCGACTCTGAATCCCACTCTCCCCAACTTCTCCAGTCATGGCCCCCACCCAGGGGAGGTCAGAGTGGATGGCTTAATAAAAGGTTCCCAAAGGCCACCCTTCCCCTCCTTCCCCCTCACCCACTGCCTCCTGCGGGGACCGCAGCAGAGCTTTCCAAAAATCGCCTGGGGTGAAAGGAGGTGAAGCTGTGTGTGTATGCGTGTGTGTGTGTGTGTGTGTGTGTTCGCGCGCACACATGGGAGAGAGAGAGAAAGTGTGAGCAAGAGAGACTGAGATTAGTGTTTTGTGGTTGTCAGTTACGCCCCTCACCCAGTTCTTCCATTCATGGATGGTGAGCAGTTCCGAACCCAGCTTTCTCAGTGCCTCAGTTTCCCTATCTATCAAATGGCCACTTGATCCTGCTGACCATAGATGATGTATTTAGTACGGTGTGGCCATCAGCCAGGCAGGGTGGGCAGTGAACTTGGGGCTGGGGCAGGGTTCCTGGAGGCTCCCTGCTGTGTGCGGGGGTCCATCAGTTCTCTAGGGAAGGACTGGGTTAACCAGGAGGCGAGGGGTGGTCCCCAGGAGCTCAGAAAAGCAGCAGTTTACCAACCCGTCTTAGTGGTTTTTAGTATTTTAACAATGCTGTAACCTCACTGGAGGGAACCAGCAGGCTGGTAGCCAGCCAGCTCCGTGCCCACGGAGGTGCCCAGCTGATTTTCTGGTGCGCCTGGTGGGTGGTCTCTCTCACATTTGTACTCTCTCCCCACCCCCAGCTTTGTTCACCACGGGTGGCAACGCCGACGGAAAGCCCTGCAAGTTCCCGTTCCAGTTCCAGGGCACGTCCTACAACAGCTGCACCACCGAGGGCCGCAGCGACGGCTACCGCTGGTGCAGCACCACCGAGGACTACGACCGTGACAAGAAGTACGGCTTCTGCCCTGAGACCGGTGGGTGTCGCCGCCTCTCCTTGCCTTCTACAGGAAACCCACGAGAACCCCCGACCTCCTCCCCCCGTGATGGGGTTCTGGTCAGAATACTTAGCAGCTGGGCAGCAGAGGCATGGAAATCAGAACAGATGTTGGGACCAATAGCCACTCAGCCAAACTGGTGACGCCTGGTGTCAGGCGCACACAGGCCCCACTCCGCACGACCCACACTCTCAGCCTCTCCCCCTCTCCTTCCTTCCCCCTCCCTCCCTCCAGCAGGGATTTACTGAGCACCTACTTTCTGCGGGAGAGCACATGGGTCTCCGTAGGGCCGCTGTAGGAGCTGATGGTCCCGGGAAGTGTGTTGACACCATCGTCCCTGCCCAGCCCTTTGCCTCTGTCCCCTCGGTCCCCATCCATGGGAGCCTAACTAAAGCCCCAGGTTTGAAGCCCGGGCCCTTCCTAGCAGTTTCTGCTCAGGCATGTTTCTTAGTCTCTCTGAGCTCCGGTTTCTCCATCCATGAAACGGGTAACATGGTTCCAACTGCACAGGGCAGTTGGAGTGGGAGGGAGACGTGTGGAAAGCACTGATCCAGTGAGTACTCAGTCAGCATGTTTGTTAATGCCCACATCATGTCATTGTTCCTCGCGGCCCCTGACCCATGTCCCTGACTCCACAGCCATGTCCACTGTTGGCGGAAACTCAAAAGGTGCCCCCTGCGTCTTCCCCTTCACCTTCCTGGGCAAGAAGTATGAGCGGTGCACCAGCGAGGGCCGAAACGACGGGAAGCTGTGGTGCTCCACCACGTCCAGCTTCGACGAGGACCGCGAGTGGGGCTTCTGCCCGGACCAAGGTACAAGGCCCGGCCGCTGGGCAGAGACCGGCATCTCCCACATCTGGGCCGGTCACCTTCCTGAGTCCCCCCCACCTCAGGCACAGACAGTGCCCCCCGCTTACCCTGGCTGAGTCCCTGCCCATCCACAGTGGGGACACTCCCTGCTCCAGACCTGCCCAGGACAGAAACACTGCCCATTCTTGGTGGCCACAGTGTCCCTGCTTAGGCCACGCCCATCCAGGCAGAGGCAGGTTTCCGAGTTAAGACCCCATCGACCTCGGTACCTGCTCCCACCGAGACTAGCCAACATGTCACAGTGCTGGGCTCGGCCCCCTACGAGGCATTTCCACTCCAACGCGCAGCTGCTTCCAAGGAGCTGGGTGGGCGGGAAAAGGGGAAAGCAGGAGGAACTCACCTTCGCTCCCACTCTGCCCTCCACGCAGCATGCAGAGCCCCAGAGCCCTCCCCGCCCCGTTGCACCACCTTCACCAAGTTGTGAGTGGGGATGCTGAGAGAGAGTGACCAAGAGATAGGCCGTGACCCTACTGTGTGGTCAGTGCCCTGAGCAGGGCGCTAGTACCCACCGAAATCTATAGGGTTCGGGGTCACTGGCCTCACTGGTGGCTCAAGATGGCCAGGCGAGAGAGCTGGTCCAGAGCCGGCCTGAAAAAGGTCTGCCTCTCTTTATGTTACTTTTCTACCTTTTGACTCACAATGAGATGGAACTTGGAGAAGGCCAGCTGACAGAGGCTGGCCCAGGGAGCCCCTGTTCCCCCCAGATGCCGTGCTAGGACACACCGACTTTACCTGCTCCACTCCAGCCTCCCCCTAAAGGTGGGCCTCACCATCCGCCAGGATGCTTTAGGGCTCCACGCTGGCACGGTGCACCCAGCTGTCTGCTAGTTTCCTAGCAAAGCATCCCAAACTGGGTGGCTTGAAACAACAGAAATGTGCCCTCTTGTACCTCTGGAGGCTCGAAGTCTAAAACCAGGGTCCCAGTGGGTCACGTCCTCCTTGTGGCATCGCTCCCTCCCTGCCTCAGATGTTACGTGGCCTTTCCCCTCGGTTCCATCTCTGTATCTTTTCATAAGAACACCAGTCATATTGGATTAAGGGGCTACCCTACCCCTGTGTGACTTTACATTTTAACTTATCTGCAAAGACCTCGTTTCCAGATAAGGTCACCTTCACAGGTACCCGGGGTCAGGACGAACCTAGCTTCTGGGGTTGAACATACTTCAGCCCACAACAGGTGTGACACAGGGTTTGCCCGCTGTCTGTGGCTGAGCCTGGGCAGCCACTTGAAGTGGGAGTGGCTTTGACTGCTGTCCCTGGGGCAGGAATGGTGGACCCTCGGGGCCAGCCTGTCCCCACTCTCTTCCCTGTTCAGAGACTGTGCAGAGCAGGTTTTCCCGTCGTCTCTATAGAGAAACACAAAAAGGCAGGAAGCACTATGTTTAACAAATGGGACTGGAAGTAGAGGACGGGCAGATGCCTCTTTTTCTTTATAGCACACATGCAGCCTGCCCTGGGAGGGACGAGGGGACTTGGGCTGACCCCGTGTGAAAGGAATACGCATAGTCTGTTAGTCCCAGGATTCTCGGGAGCAGGGAAAATCAATCTGTGCCACTTCCAGGGCCCTCTGTCCCACCATGAGATGCCCCCAAAAGGCTCCATCACTGAGGCCAGGGCCTGACTCCTCTCTCACCTCCCTGTCCTTCTGCACCCTCCCCTCCCTGTGGCCCTCAGGGTACAGCCTGTTCCTGGTGGCGGCTCATGAGTTCGGTCACGCAATGGGGCTGGAGCACTCGCAGGACCCTGGAGCCCTGATGGCGCCCATTTACACCTACACCAAGAACTTCCGCCTGTCCCAGGATGACATCAAGGGCATTCAAGACCTCTACGGTGAGCCTCAGCTTGGGGCTTCGGGGCGGGGGTCTGGGAGGCCATGCAGCCTGGGATGGAGGCCCAGGGGGTGCACCAGCAAGGTCCCATCTGTCCAGGATTGCAGGAGACAAGGGCAGGAGGCACGAGTGTTGACCTGGTCGGGAGGAGTCAGAATACTCCAAGGGAACCCTAGGACAGTTCTTTTCCCTTCCAAGTAACATCAGTGTTCACGCCTCTCTCGGCTCTCCAGCAGGCAGGGCAGAAAGGGGCTCTCCATCTTTTGGAAAGTAAATTAAGACCTGAGAAAGGCCATCAGGTTGCAGCAACCAAGTTAGGTTTAGAATCCAGGAGAATTAGCTAAATACAGGGTACAATTTCCCAGCACGTGCAATGACCTTAATGACACAAGGGTGTAGGTTTCTAGTTTTCCTAATTATTCTTTTATTTTAATGTGTAATAGGAACAATACAACTAGGACCTGAGACCAGTGACTTCTTTATTATCAGTGCTTGTAATGAGGCTAGAGTTTAAAAAGTCCATGTTTTAGAAAAAGTAGATGTATAATGGTATGGCAATACCTGGACCACGCCAAAGGTGCTTGAGCCCAGAGGCTGGGGAAATAAGTGAGCTTGGAAAGAACCCACAGTGGAGTGAGGCACCGGGTTCTATGCTGTCTCTGCCCCTCCACCAGCTGTAAGAGAGGAGCTGGTCCTTACCTGTCCAGACTCAGTTTCCTCATCTGTGAAGTGGGAGTGATAATGATGCCTACCTCCCAGGGATAGAGTGGGGACTGGTTCAGGTGACCTCAGTGAAGAGCATTATAAAGTGTGAAGGGCCATGGGATTCTGGTCTCTCCACTCTCCCCACCTCCATGCATCGTCTCCCTCTCCTACCCTGGCTTACGCTAAGGCCAGAATAGTATTTCTTCTGATCCTTAGCAGGTTGGGTGGGCAGCCCTGGGGCTCAGCCTGGTGGGGAGAATCCCTGGAACTGGGGAGAGTCTGAGGTCAGGTGTCCTCCCCCAGGGCCCTCTCCTGATGGTGACATTGACACTGGCACCGGTCCCACCCCCACTCTGGGACCTGTCACTCCTGAGATCTGCGTACAGGACATCATCTTTGATGGCATCTCTCAGATCCGCGGGGAGATCTTCTTCTTCAAGGACCGGTGAGCGCGGGAGCGTGCTTCTTGTCCCCTGCCTCTGGCCCTGCTCCATTATTCTTGTACCCCCGCCCCTCGCACAGGGACCCACCGGGCGCTTCGTAGAATAACCTATATAGATAGTTTTCTGCATGTCAGATGACCTCTGGATTTCAGTGGCTTACCCCCACAGGCATTTCTTCTGCTTTCCCCTAGTCTGTGGGTCTACTGGGTGTGTTGGTTTCAGGCTGTTGGCTTCAGGCGGCAGTGGGCCTCCCACCCCAGAACCCCCTAGGGGGTAGGTGTGCTCTGCTGTCACTCATTCTCCTGGGATTTGTGGCTACTCGTGGCCGATGGCAGAAGCCAAACCAAACCGCACAAGCACAGTGAAAGCCTCCGCTCACATCAAATCTGAGAATATGCCATTGACCGAAGCAAATCACATGGCCAAGCCCAGCACCTGCTCTCAGGGCTGGTACTGTGAAGTCACATGGCAACAGACACGGCTCTATAAAAAGAGGGACAGAAGGAAACATTGGAAATAATAACCCAGGCTATCACAGGCCCTCAAAATTGGCCTTGACCTCACATGGCCAAACTGTTGTATGTCCAGGGAGCAAGTAACCACAGGATAGAGAAAGGGGGTATCCTTCATGCTATAAAGGGCCCCACTCAATTGACTAAGAGCTGAGATACATCCAACTGCCCTAGCCTTCCTGAATAACGGCAGATAGTGTTAGGACTGCACTAAAGGACCTGTCTATGCAAATATACTTATACCCATCCATCCATTCATCTGTCTATCCATCTACCCAATATCCATCCATCCATTATCTATCCACCTATCATCCATTATCCATGATCAGTTCTTCACGCTCCATCCATCCATGTGTCCATTCATCCATTCATAGAGCATGCTATTGACAGAATGGGCTCTGGAGCCAGATTGCCTGGGTTAGAATCCCAGACCTACAACTTACTGCTTGCATGATCATAGGCAAGTTAATTATGTATCTACTTTGTACCTCAGTTTCCTCATCTATAAAATGGGACTAATTTTCCCATCTGTCTCATAAGGCTGTTGTAAGGATTAGATGAGTTTAGCTCTTAGAACAATGCCTGGCACAGAGTGTGTTCAGTCACATTAGCTGTTATTATCAACAAATATTACCTGGCATCTATGGTGCCAAATACTTGGTGAGGCTTTAGGAGCTGGGGATGGGGGTGGTATGCTGGGGTAGAGGGGCTACTTAATGCCTAGATCAGTGTTCTTAAAGAGGTCTCCATGGGCCTCTTACCCCAGAACCCCCTAGAGTGTGAGTGTTAAAACTCCGGGTTTGTGTTCCCACCTGTAGGCCCGATCACTTGCAAAATAGTTAAGCACCGATCACGTGCAAAAATTAGTGCTAGGCACTGAAGGGGGGCACAAGAAAAGCAATAGTGCAGGATAATTCAACTTAGACGTTGGAGTCAGATCTGGATGTGAATCCTGGTAACCTCTCTGAGCTTCATTTGCCAAATATGATCGTGATACCCTCCTTTACCCAGATGTTTAGCTGCAAGTATCAGAGAACCTTAACTCAAACCAGGTTAGACAATGGGAAAAACTGTTCTCACGTGGTACAAAGTCCAGGGTTAGGGCTGCCTCTGGGAGCAGAAAGAGGGTCAGTGACTCAGTGATAACTTTGTCCACTGCCATCCTCTGCATTGACTTCATCTGAATGCCGGGCTCCTCGTGGTTACAAGGTGGCTGCCAGTGGCAATTGGGGCTACAGGCTTCCTTGCCCACGTATAGCAAGAGAGAAGAAGAGAAAGAAACAGAAAGAGAGAGATCCCAAGTACAAAATTTATGTCTATCTGTTCAACCTTATTATGCAAACAAAAGTCATAACAACTAACAGTTGCCAGGGAATGCTAAAGCTCTGATAGGCTTAGACCAGTGGTTCTCAAACTTTGGCATGCATTAGACTCATCAGGAAGGCTTGTTAAAACACAGAGCACTGGACCCCAAGCCCGGAGAGCCTGATCCATAGGTCTTGGGTGGGGCCCAATAATTCGCATTTCTAATGAGTTCCCAGGGGGTGGGCTGGGATCACACTTTGAGAAACAGTGGCTTAAACTAATCAGAATAGTGTTGGGTCCACCTCCAGCGAAGGATGGATCGTAAATTTGGAAGCTTTGTGAGGAAAGGTGATAGAGAATGAATAGATAATAGATGCTGGGTAGACCAGCTAGCGTGCATATTATAATATTGTGAGAAGTACATTTTCCAAGGCACATAAAGTGCTGCCAAAGTATACAAATCCACTTCATTTCATTTCAGGAAATGTTTTGAGTGCCATCAGCACCTGCCTCAGTTGGCTTCTAACCTTAGAAGAGCTAAGACATTTAAAAAAAAAAAATCCAGTTACTATTCCAGGCACTCAATGTTGGTGATTTTTCAGAGGCTCAGAGGAGGGAGAATACAGTGTGCGCAGAGGTAGTTAGGGAAGGCTTCCTGGAGGAAGGAGCAAGAGGGAGAGCAAAGAGGTTGCCTCCCAGCCCTGGCATCTTGCAGAGGGGGCTCTGCCCATCCTGTAGTCCTTCTCCGACCTTCCTTTGACCTTGCTTCCCCCTCGAAAGGCATCACTGCCCGAATGTTTCTGAATGGGCTTGGGGAGGCACCTGTGGTTGCCGCTGCAGAGTGACTGAGGCTGTGGCTTCCCATGTCCCCTTCTTTCCCTCAGGTTCATCTGGCGGACCGTGACGCCAGGTGAAAAGCCCACGGGGCCCCTGCTGGTGGCCACATTCTGGCCTGAACTTCCAGAAAGGATCGATGCCGTGTACGAGGCCCCGCAGGAGGAGAAGGCAGTGTTCTTTGCAGGTGTGTGGGCAGGATCCTCCCGGGCCCTCAGCTCCGCGGGGCTCTGCCCCGTGGTTCCTGTGCCCCTGTGGGCGCTCCCTCTGCTTTAGGGATCCATTCTTTCAACCACCATTTCTGAAAGCATGGGATTCAAATGGGAAATTGGCTCAGACACCGGCATCCCATAGCATTGGCCCACAGTGAACATTTCATTACCTTGAATTCTTTCTCAGTCCTTTTGGTTCCTTTTCTAGAAGGAAAATCAGCTTAGTGCAGGTGTCTCTAATGGCAACTAGAGCCTTAGCGGACAACAACTTTAGTTCAAATTTTAAAAAACACATCATTTGCTTTTATTTTTAAATTTTAAAATGAACTTATTTCTAAAGATTTCAAAATGAATTCCTTGTAATCAAACTATGAAGTAAAAAATTCCATAAGGGGTCTCTGCAAGCAGTGAAAAATCATCCAGCTAGGCCCACATGGCCAATATTTGGGGAGCCCTGTGTATCCTACATTGACTTGAGCACCTGCCATGGACTAGGGATCCAGCCCCTGCCCTCACAGAGCTCATAAACTAGTGGGGAGACAGAAAACCAGGCTGTTGGGGGGGTGCAGTAAGTGCTAGGATCAGGGAGGTAGGACCCGCAGGTCTGAGCCAGGGCACAGGGATGGCTTCTTGGAGGAGCCGAAGGCTCAGCCTGCACTGTGGGTACATGGTCTACCCGCCGGCTCCCCAGCTCCCTTCTCCCAGGGATTATGGGCTGTGGCCAGGGCAGTACTGGTCCCCAAGGCACCTTTGCACAAGTTAGAAAAAGGTGCCTCTTCATGGCAGGCATGGCACTCAGAGTGCATGGTTGGTGAGTGGAGTGAGGGCTGGACTTACTCCCCCTCATCTCCTTGGCCAGGCATCTTCTATAACCAACTGTAAAACCATCCACATGAGCCCCGATGTGGCCTCTGAATCCAGACGTAAGCAGGAACTGTGTCCCTGCTGAGAACGGCCACAGTGGGGTCCCCGGCAGACAGATGATGGGAGGATAGGCTGGCCACGGGCATCTCGGCACCACTCACCGACACATTCTTTGCTTCCACCCCAGGGAATGAATACTGGGTTTATTCAGCCAGCACCCTGGAGCCGGGGTACCCCAAGCCTCTGACCAGCCTGGGGCTGCCCCCTGATGTTGAACGAGTGGATGCTGCCTTTAACTGGAGCAAGAACAAGAAGACGTACATCTTTGCTGGAAACAAGTTCTGGAGGTGAGTCAGGCAGCAGAGCCGGCTGCGTGGGCATAGAGAAGGCTCCGTGGCTTCATGCCTCCTGGGTCAAGTTCGGAGGTTGGTGGGTCACGGATGCCCCTCTCTGGTCTCTAATCTGCCAGGACTCCAGCCCCTTTGAGAAGTCATCAAAGGATGACCCATCCTTGTGCACATTAATGGTACAATTCTGGTTAGAACCTCCCCCCCTTCTCGGAAGTCTTGACTGGGCCCATGTCTCTCTGGTTTGGAGCTTCACCATATGGGATGACTCACTGAAGGCAGGGTAACAAGAAGAAAGATAACACCTTCTCCTGTTGACATTATGTGCCAGACACTGTTCCAAGGGCTTTATGAGATGAGGACACTGGGGTTCAGAGAGATTAAGTGTGTAGCTTAAAGTCACACAGCCAGCTAGTGGCAGCTTGGGATGTGAACCCTGGAATTCTGGCTCCCAGAGAGCATGCTATTTTCCACTATTCTACACTGTGCCTAAAAAATAGTGGGGTCCCAAAAAATGGGAGTATAGAGAGGCAGGGATGGAAGAGGGCAAGCTACGATGAAAACAGAGATGGGCGCACCAGCTTCTTTTAGGAATCAGGCCTCGGAATCAGGCTCATTGAAAGCAGCAGACACCCCCTGGCGGGTCTGCCACAGGCCCAGTGGCTGTGGGCGGAGGCTGGAGGGGCCGGCTGGGAAGCAGGTAGCTCTCTGCTCCAGGTTGTCTAAAGGGGGGGACTGAATTCTGAGAGGCCATGGCCAAGGCTGAGGGTCAGGGGCCCAAGAGCTGGGAATGGTCAGTGAGAAGCAGTCTCGGCTTGATTAAAATTTGTCCTATTTCCCAGGTAAGGAAACTGTGGTCCGACGTGTGTTGTTGGCTACAGAGCCAGGATCATAACTGCCTCTCCTGTCCTCTCACCCTGTGCCCCTCACGGCCCTCTAAGGGTCAGTCGGTCAGTGGAAAGAGGCGATTGTGCAAGGAAGGGGTGAGTGGGTGTCTTCACCCACCCAGGTTTCTCCGCGGCTGCTTGTGCATCTGGCCTTTGGCCTGTCATCCCTGAAACAATCCTGCTGTCCTCCCAAGGGCCCTGTCTTCTCCCACGTCTCCTCCCACCACCCTCCCCTGGCTGCCCAGCATTCAGAAGGGTGGAATTCCAGACACACTGCTGAGATACTCAGCAGCTTAAGCTGATTGATATCTCAAGCCTCAAGAAAGAGCGCAGTCAGCCGGGAAACCACAGAGCGGGCTTTCTGCCCACAGGCTCCAGAGCCCTCCCAGGCGCACGCGTCCTGCAGGATCCTGGCATGGGAGGTGCTCCAGGACCTTAAAACGTGGTCGGTGAGCTGCACAGGTTCACAGACGTGAGTCTTAGAACCATGGAGCCCTAGTGTCTTTGAATCGTGGCGTTGCACAGACTTTTCTAATCATCTTCCAACATGCTCTGTGTATGTAAACACATGGGAACAGACATGTCCGTGTGTGAGCATGAGCACACACGCCCATGCATGAGTGTGCACCCATGCACACGCGCACACACACTGACACTCAGGCGGTGGCGATGCTTTGCTAGGGTTTCTAGCAGTTATCTGCCTCCCAGTCCTTCTCTGCAACAAGCCCACCTTCCAAAGTCAAGGTCCTTAAAAGTGGCAGAGCTGTAGGGCCTGTCAGAGGCTCTGGGCAGGTTTTCAGAAGAGACAGATCTCGCTCCCAGGAGAGATGGCTAGTGAGCTTGAGATGCTGGTCCTGGTGCAGAGTCTGCAGGGGCCCCAGAGCCCCCTGGCTGGAGAAGGGGAGAGAGTCCCCGAGCAACAGAGGACGCATAGCTGCCTCCAGCCTGAGCATCCCCTCCTACATGCCAGGGAGAGCTCTGCTCCTTCTGGATGCTTCCACAAAGCCCTCAAATATCAATTCAGTATCTTCTGTGTGCCAGGCACTGAGCTGGGGGCTGGAAAACAGTGGTCAAGAAATAGTCACCCTGCCTTGTGGAGCTTACGGTACAACAAGAGACATAAACAGATTTGAATAAAATGACTGGTTCTCACGATGGGCTCTGAACTTCATGCCAAAGCCCGAGGCTGTGCATTTCACCTGTATTTCCCATCAGAGGTAGATACTAGTATTAGTCCTTTTCCAGGTGTGGAAACTGAGGCCGATGTCCTCAAGGATACACCTGTGGAAAAGCTGGGACACATATGTCTGTGTTCCTCACTGCTGTTTCTCCAGCTGCAGAGGGGAAGTAAAGTGCCTTTCAAAACAGTGTACCAGCGAGCCTGGACACTGTAGAGGAGACTCTGGGGACAGAGAGGAAAGTGAGATGTGGGCCCCTTCGGAGCATCGTCTGGTGCCACGATGCCATGCTCTTCCTGGGGGAAAAGGAACATAGAAGCAACTAATTCACTTCTCTGAGCCTCAGTTTCCTTGCCTATAAAATGGGGTTGATTCCTGCCCGCCCTGACTTCTGTGGGTAGAGTGAGAAAGAAACGAGGGCAAGTTCAAGGACACCTGGCTCTGGGCCATCATCACAGTAGAGAATGTAGGTGGAGGGGTCGGTGGAGGTGATGCAGGTGGAGTGCTGGGATTTTGAGCTGGGACGCTTGGTTTTGGTACCCCAGGTCATGAGGAAGCATGTTAGGTCTTGCAAGAAGAAGTCATGTGATGGGGCTGGGATTAAGGAAGGCTTCTCTGGCAGTTCTCAGGGTGCTGGGCAAAGAGGATAGAACCCTGTAGAAGAGAGCTCAGAGGGTCAGAGGGGAAGCTTTTGCTGGCATCTGGGTGGAGGTGGTCAGGCTGCCGTGGGGAAGAAATGTCAGCTATGTGGCACTATAGAGGGGCGCTTGGCTGTCACCAGGATGACATGCAATCATGGATGTGCCTAGGAAATTAGCACCACGAAGGCAAGATGCTATCTTGTGTACTGTGATATCTGCAAAATGATCCCAACATTTAAAAAGTTCTACAAAAATTAAAAAGACAGAGGTATCACTAGCCAGGAAAAAGACTATGCCAACCACATACTCAAGGTATTTACCCGAATTAAAGGCAGGACTAGGATAGCTATGCAGCCAGGATAACTGGGGTGACAGGAGGTGCACCCTGTGACTAACAGGGTTTGGACTCACATACCACCTGCATTGTAACCTCGCTGTCCTGGCCGAGATCATCTCCCAGGACATGCACTGTCATCTCCACTTGACAGATGAAAACGCAGCAAGCCACCCAGAGAGAGAGTGATGGGATGGGACCCTTTCCTGGACTCCTAGTCCAGTGCTCATCACATTGCACTGGATCAAAGTTTGTAAGAGAATAATATTTCCCCAGTAATCTACCAAATACCAGATACAGGGATAGGCACTTTGTATGTGATGTTTTATTTCATATGTACCTTAATACATTAAATTAAATATAATCCCATCTTCCAGCTGGGAAAACTGAGGCTCAGAGAGGCTCCCACTTAGAAGCTGGGTACCCTTTTGAAGTCTCTGGTCTGTGAAATGGGTATTTTGGTAATAGTTGTGTCATAGGGTGTCACGAGGATTGACTGGGAAAGGAAAGGAACGGTGGTTTACTTGCTGCTTCAGCATTAGCAGTAATCACAGGATTGCTTTTATAGGACTGTGAAGGTCACGGAATTAGTGAGCGGTGGGCTGGGATTCAGGCCCAGTTCTGACAACGTGTCCTCCCTTTCCACCGGCAGCCCCCCTGAAAGGCCAGGTCTGGTTTCCCAGGCCCACCCAGGAGCCATCGGGGGCCCTCCCATCCAGGCCCGGGGGGCAGGGGGGTGGCCGTTAGGGAGACCCCACTGGCTCACCGCATCCGGTTCCTTGCAGATACAATGAGGTGAAGAAGAAAATGGACCCCGGCTTCCCTAAGCTCATCGAAGAAGCCTGGAACGCCGTCCCTGATAACCTGGACGCCGTGGTGGACCTCCAGGGCGGCGGTGAGCTGCCCAGGCCTCTGACGGCTTTCTAGGACTCCCCACCCCCACCCAGGCCCGGTCCTGCAAGCACACACTCCCTCATTGTGCAGGGAGGCTAGCGGGGCCGGGCAAACAAACCAGTCCCTTCAGCCGGTGCTGGGAAGGCATCCAGACCCCTGACCTCCGCTCAGGCGGCAGGCTCCAGGCAGTAAGACCCAGAACGGCCCCTCACAGCTGCAGGGCCCGGGGCCAGGACAGGAGAGGGTGGGAGGCCTGCGGGGGCCGGGAACATGGGCTCCGTGCCCGGCATTCATTCTGGGGGCCTGATCCAGGCCCTTTCGGCTTCCACAGGAGGCCTTGTCACCGCCGCCCATTAGCAGTAGGATGGCTCCATTTGAGATAGGACCAACTCTGTCATGGCCTCTTGCTGGTATGGCAAAGAGCCCCATTCAACTCACTTTGCCTCTGGTCCCTTGCTGAATACAACAGGATCATCGAGGGATAGAATTTGGAGTTTGAAAAACATATTCTTGGGGAGGCTTCTGTGAGCTCTCTAGGGCCCTGAAAGTGGTCCAGTTTGGCATCTTAGAGGTGATTTTAATTAAATTCCATGAAGATTTTCTTTTGAGCCCTTATATGCTGGCTAAGCGCATGGTCCTGACCTCCAGTGGCTAAAGGTCTACATGTCTAACAAAAAGCAGTGTACAATTAGGTGTTAGGTTAAGGATCATCTTCAGGAATAAATAACTATTGAGCACCTACTATGTGCCAGGGTTTTAAAGAAAGTAAATGGGATTATGTATGTCAGGAGTCACAAATTCCAAAGCCCAGAGGGGCCAGGCCAGTAGCACAAATGAGTGAAGTAGGCAAGGCAGGCAGGGAGTGGTGGGGTCTGTGGTGAAGCAGAGAGCACATGGCTTATTTACAGGGGACAGTTGCTTCTCTGCATCTGCTGATTGCTGCCCTGCAAGAACAGGGTCCAGTGTGGCTGGATATTCCAACTCATTTAAAAGGAAGCAAAAAATGTCTGTGTTTCCTTATGAAATTTCCAGATGTTTACACGGTGGAAACTTATTTAGAATTCAGAATAAAACAAAACAAAAACTCGTGTGAGCCAAATACAACCCACGTGTGGGCCAATAGAATGAGCAGCCTCCTGGTTTGTTGCCTCTGGTATGGAAAGCGCTTAGTTTGGTGACTGTGCTCTGAGGAGTACTATTGATATTAATAGCAGCAGGTATTGTCTGACTTCACCCTTGCCACAAGCCCTAACAGGTTGGTATCTTTTCCCCACCTTGAAGATGAACACAGGGACTCAGAGAGCTCCCTTCCTCACCATGTCCCTTTCCCAGCTTCAGAGGGGTCCTCTCTGGGTTAAAAGCTGCTTCCCTTCGGTGGGCAGGCTTTCAAAGCTCCCCGGAACCTTCCCCCTGCCAGAATGCCTGAGGGTGCTCACAAACTCTCTCCTTTCTTGTCCCAGGTCACAGCTACTTTTTCCAGGGCATTTTTTACATGAAGTTGGAGAACCAAAGCCTGAAGAACGTGAAGGTTGGAAGCATCAAATCCGATTGGCTGGGCTGCTGAGCCGGCCGCAGCTCCCGCAGGGCCTGCGTCTCCATCGCTTTCTGCACGTCGGGCCCTGAGCGCCGGGGAAGGACCCGCAAGGGCCCGGCAGCCTGCAGCTCTGTGGTTAATCAGCGTTCTCACCGCCACCTGGTAATGGAAGATTCCCGAGAGTGGCTGTGCCCTGTGCCCAAGGAAAGGTGCTGACTATACCCCTCCCAGGTGCTCTTTACCCCTCCATAGCCCACCAGCCCTCGAGAGCCACCCCAAAAAGATGCTTTAATATCCACGCAGCCCTGTGCTGGGCTGGTCTGGTGCTGCCACACTTTAGGCTCTTCTCCCTCCACAACCTGCTGTGGCTTCCAGCACCCTCAGAGCCAACAGAGACTGTCTCAAGAGGGCACCGGTGGCCCAACAGCCTGGCCTGGCCTGAGGCAGTGGGAGAGGCATGGCCCGGAGGCCACCCAGGCACCTGGCTTCTCCCTGCTGTCTGCCTTAGAACCTTCCCTGCACTAGCAGTTGGCTTTGTATGCACTTTGTTCTGAAGTCACTGCACGAAGCATCTCAGCCCACGTAGGGATGGTTCCCTTGTTCACTCTGTGTAGTCCTAACCTACCCCGTCACTTCCTCCACTGGATGGAGGAAAACCAGCCGTGGCTCCCTGCTCTGCCCTCCCCTCCTCACCCTTCAACAATTCCCCATGGGAAATGTCAACAGGTATGAGTAAAGACACTAATTGAGTGGCAGTGTTTGCTTCTGTTTTTACAGAGCCTAGAGAGGGGCCCCAGCCCCAGCCAGAAAAGGAAACTAAAAAGTCTGAGTCTCTGCTCCCTGAAGGGCGCAGGTGACATTTGAGAGATCCCCAGTGTGTGAGCTGAAGTCCCTCCATCCCATGGAAAGGGACCTGAGACAGCAGTGAGTCATTCTGTGACTATAATTACAGGGTTCCCTTTCTCTTTGAGTCTCAGTTTCTTCATTAACAATAATCCCAATTCTCATGCTAATGAACAACGCCCCCCTCCACGAACAGAGGGCCTACTGTGTGCCAGGCACTGTACATGCATCACTTCATTGAACTTTTACAACAACCTAAAGAGGGCATGGCTGTAATTAGCCCAAATTTTATTAATGAGAAAAGTGATTTGCCCAGGGTACAATAGATATTAGATAACAACCCAAGTCAAGGCCAGAGGTGACCCAGAGGAGGAGCTTTAGCCCTCAGCCCAGACCCTCCAGCAGCAGCTACCCTCCCCACTTCCCCAAAAGCCACCCTAAGGAAACACAGCCAGAGGAGAAATGCTGGCTTGCTTTCTGAGCACACCTTCTAATGAGTAAGCTCCTGAGGACTCCTGTGGGGAGGGACATGATGGCACGAGGGCGCCTGTCCTGACATGTGTTGTCCTTCAAGCCTCATAAGAACTATGAGGTGATTCTGAATTTTCCGAGGAGACAAACCTGCAGAGAGACAAAATCTCCCGCCCAGGGTCCCAGAGCTGTTCAGTGAGGCTGGTATGCTGAGACCTGGGGTGGGCTCTTTGGGAGTTTCATGGAGGATAGTCTGCACCACAGTGGTCCCGGAGGGCTTCCTGAAGGAGGTCTTGGTACGAAACTAAATGATCCTACTACCTCAGCAATACTTCACTCTTCTCAGCCCTGCCCTTGGAATGGGCTCAGTGTGGCCTGGGGCCACTGGATGCAGTGCCTGGGACAGGTGGCCTTGTGGTTTTCTCTTCAGTGAAACTGACACGACCTGGAACTCCTTCATGGTCTTGGGGTGGGGGCAGGCTATAGACCCAACCCAGGAGGTTGGGTTTCTCTCTGGGCAGCTGGCCATTTTTGCTGGGCCACCTTCGGATTTCATCATCTCAGCCCACATGCATTGAATGCCTGTGATGTATAGCGCTCTGGGCTCAGCTTGGGCTTATGGCCCAATTTCTTACTTGACCTGCCACTGATTTCTTTTAGGCCAGAGCTGTGGGCTGATTTCGGTGGGTAGGGTGCCCAGGATCTCCAGGGTCTGAGGGAGATGGCCCGGGAGTCTGACAGGCCTCTGTCTCCTCCACTGCAGGAGGCTCAGGAGCAGGAGGGGTGGGCCTTTTATAGAGCTCAGGACTGACCGGAGGAGAACTGGGACCACTGGCCCAGAGACAGGGTTTCTGTGTAATTTGCCTGAAATGGGCTTGGCAGGAGTCCAGGAAAACATTTTTGTTAGGTAGGAGTAGCCCCGGAGAGACTATGGGGCTGTTTTGGGGTTCCTGAGATGGGTGTGGTTGGGGAATCCTGCTGGGAGGGCCCCCTCACATCCTGACCCTTGGGGATTGGCAGGAGAAGCTAAAGCACGTGGTGTCATCTCTGGATGTTGGACTGGAGAAGTTTTGCCTTTCAGCCAAATGGGCTTTCCCATTTGAATTCCATTTTTATTTAAGCATATCCTTCGGCTCCCACCCTGCCTCATGCCTGGCTGGGAGCTTCTCTACCCTCAGAGTGTGGCAATATTCCAAGGTCATTCAGATAGCAATCATTTGAACAACCAGAACTTTTTTAAAATGAAAAAGGAAAACCTAACTACTTTGACAATGGAAGCATGGTTTTAAATAGCTTAAATCAGGAAAGTCAGAATGGGGACTAGGCGCTGAATCATTAACTTGGGTAAGTCAGAAGGTCTCTCTGAGTATTTGTCAGATCAAACTTCTATGAAGCTGTAAGCTGAGCTCCTGCAGCTCTCACTGGGTTTGGAAATAACTTCACTGCTGACCATTCAGAGTGGAGAGACCTTACTGAATACATAAGTCCCTCAATAGAAAAATCAGGATTCACCATAAGAGTAGTGATAAACTAATCCTATGATAATGGCTGCTCTAGATGCACCCTGGATTTATTCTATTTTTTCTTCTTTTTTATTTTTTTTTATATCTTTATTGATTTCAGAGAGAGGAAAGAAGAGGGAGAGAGAGAGACAGAAACATCAATGATGAGAGAGTCATTGATCAAGCCCACAACCGGGACATGTGCCCTGACCGGGAATCGAACCCCGATCGCCTGGATCCTAGGTGGACGCTCAACCGCTGAGCCACGCCCGGCCGGGCCCTGGATTTATTCTAAAAACAACTAATCCTCAAACAGACCAAGTTCGTCTGAAATTTAATAAATTGTTGCCAAACAAAACATAAGGTATAATAAAAAACTTAACCAGAATCTGGATGCCTAATAATGAAGAGCCATGGTGTCCGGTACCCAAACAAAATATAAGATGAAAAGAAACAAACATGTGACTGGTAATCAAGAGAAAATAATTAGTAGAAACCAACTCAGAAATGACAGGGTTGATGATAAACCACCCCCAAATTTTAAAAGTATTTATAACAAACAAAAATTAATAAAAATAAAAGAAATGGAAGACTATATATATTTTAAAAACACATGGATATTATATAAGTAAAAAATAATAAAATCTAAAACCTGATGTCTGTCAATAGGCTCAACAGTAAATTAAGTAATGTGGAAACAACAGATTTGTGAACTTGAAGACATGGAAATAGCAACTATCCAAACTATAGCACAGAGATTCTAAAAAAAAAAGGCTGCCTCCTCTGCCCCCACCAGAAGCAATCTTCATGAAAAAGCAATCTATCACAAGGTCTAATATACTTATGATCAAAGATCCAGAAGGAAAAGAGGGGCAGAAAAAAAAAAAAAAAAAGCCAAAAATGAGAACTTTGTCACAGGAGGTCTGCACTGCATAATGTTAAAGAAACTTATTCAGGCTGAAGGAAAGTTACTCGAGTTAGATCAATCTAGACAAAGAAACTAAAAATGCCAGAAATGACTTCCCAGCTGGGCACTATTGCAAGAGGCAGCTACTATCCCGACTGGCAGCTACCTGACCAGGCACGATCCCGACAGGCTGCCACCATCCAGAGGCAGCCAGTATTGTGAAAGCTGTGTGAGATCAAAACTCTGTTTTTTTAACTGAGAGGCTGGCTAGGCTCCCAAGGTCTCACAGTCCACTTAATGATGGCCTTCATCATCTTCCCACAGGGTGGGAGAGGGAGCTGGAGCATGGGAAGGGGTCCTTATTCCCATTTATAATACATGTATGTTAAGGCAAATCATGAACCAAAGGTTATGTTACCATAAGAAGCATTTAAACCTGTGAAGAATTTTTGTGAGTTTATTTGAGGCAAACTGTTGACACATGCCAGGAAGCAGAATCTCCATGGATTGAGAGAGTGGTCCGGAGAATGGCAGTTTTGCACCTTGCTTTATAGGTTACAGTCAAAGGGGGAGACGTAACTGGGTTGCATGAAATCCATTGGTGATCGGTTAGGGAGGCGGGAGAAAGCAAAGTGGGGAAACCTCTAGGATTGGATAAAAAATAAAATGATAGACACACTTCTTTTACATAGGTGGGTACAAGATAGTTAACAGTCAAAAGTTAACATGATAACAATGATAATGAGGGACTTTGTGGCTCTCCTTAGAGCAGTGCCTATGCTTTGAGGGGTCCAGAAAAAGGAAATTTACTTTGTTTTTGCAAAGGCATGTTAATCAGGTAATGTTATTAAAGCTGCAAAAAGACAAACGGGCAGGCTTAGTTAAGGTGAAAGTTAACTTTTTTAAGGGAAAGATACTGCCTTAGGACATGACTACCCACCATAGGCTGCTTTTAGTTAAAAAAGTTTTCATTTCAGACCATCCTCTGTGGTTACTGGAGGTCTCTGATTTGCAAGGCCACCGTGCAGGCCTTCCTTGGGCTTGTCAGTTTTAACACGTGACCCGTTTTTGTCCACAGTTATAGGGAATGATGTTTTGGTCTCAATAAAATAAAGATCCTTCTAATAACGGGGTATCTATATCCAGAGTGTGCTGGGCATGTGAGGGGAAGCACGGGTGGCTAGTAGGCTCCCATCCCTGCAGCAGCTCCCATACTGGCTGAGGCTCGGTGCCCACCTGTCAGGGACCAGCTGGGCAGGGGTCTCCTTGGCCTCTACTAGTTGGATTAGATGCCTCTGCTTCCAACTCCTCCAGATTTGAGGGAGACCCATTTTTGTGTGCCTGCCTATCAAAATAGTTCCTGCTTCTCGAGATACTGGCTGCTCCCTGCAGGCTGGATGGGACTTAGGGGTTCAACTTCACTGGTCCAGCAGTCAACGTCACTGGTCTGCTGCCACAGGTGCCCACGTAAGTCCTAGTAAATCCAGGTCTTTCACAGCCAGTCCTTCAGTTATTTCTTTGGAATCCAAGAACAATACGCTGAGGTTTTCTGGGACTTTAGCACTTTGAGTAATAATACACAATCCTAATGTATACACTCAGCTGGTCCTTACTTGGCCAAGAATTAGCCCCTGAGGTACCTGAAAACTGGATTGGGCTTTTTTTCATGATAAAGGCATTAAAATGACTATGCTAATTAAGAAGCAAGTCTCAATGAGACTCAGTGGAGGTGAGGCGGAGGAGTGGAGGAGGGCAACAGTTCTGGCAGGGGCACTGTGGAGCCAGCAAACAGCAGAGGGACTTGTCAAAAAAGTGTTCAATGGGCCATCCCTGCTTTCCCTGGGTCTCTCCCACCCTGGAGTCCCAGGCATTAAAAACTGAGTGCTGGGCTAGAAGTTAGAAATTTAGATCTGGCCCCAGCCTATCTTTACTTGGGAAGATCACTTAAGCCCTTTGTAACACAGTTTCCTCATCTGTAAAATTGGGTTAATTATGCCCAGCCTTTCCACTTTCGAGGACTGTGTTAAGAATC